TTATTTTACTTTCAATACAGATAATTGCCTCATCTCTGTTTATTAAAGTCTTTTTCACACTGATTTTCAATGCCAACTCATTCACATTTCAAGTTTCCATATATGTCATGGACTATTTTGTTCATATAATGAAACAATGAATAAAACAGTCCTGCTGACTACAGGCAGGCACATGTAAAGAGAAGTAATAGGAGATTAGGTTGGAAAGCTAGACTAAGTATAGTTCAAGTAAACCTTAAATACAATTAACGGCCTCCCACCAGTGCTCAAATCTTGTCAGGTCGCAGTCATCTAGAGTAGAGGTCAAATTATGGCCTGTGAGCCCAGTCCAGGCTGACATGTGTTTTTGTAGATAACTATCTTTGGAATACACTTATTTATGTATCTTCTGTGACCACTTTGACAATGGCAGAACTGAATAGTTATGACAGAGGTCATATGCATGGTTCTGAAAACCTAAAAAAATTTCCTATGTTGTTCTTTATACAAAATATTTGCTGACCTTTGACCCAGAGACTTAGGTATAAACTCAGCATAGATTCCATGGTACCACTGCCTCTTTATGAGCTATATAATTCTGCTGCCACAACCAAGCAGTCAGCTTTGGTTGGTAACGACAGATAAATTCCAATCGTAACATTACAAAATGGGGCTCTACTCCTTTCTTTAAATTCATTTTAAGGTATTTATTTGATGAATTATGTAATAAATAATGTATCATTTGTTTAATAAATTATTTAAATTGTTTAATTAATAATTCATTAAATTCATTTAAAGGGGTTTAGTCTCATCTACATTGATGGCATAATTTCACCTTTTGGAACCATGACAAAACCTAAGATGTAATTGACTACATTGGCTAATTATTCTGGAGTCTGAAGTAGGGCCCCACACTTTGTTTCTCATTTTCAGATTTTAAATGAGTCTTTGGCATGTATTAGTTCTCAAAAAAAATGTAGTTTGATCCCCAGTCTCACTTCCTTACAGATAATGCTGTCCTTGGGTTAGGACGTAATGCTTTTGCTTCAGCTTTCATAAAAGCTTGACACAAGAAACACTCATTTAAAAATATTTCTGGTCTTTAACAAAACTGTAGCTATAGACATTGTCCATTTTGTACTCAATGTTGCTTACAATCTTCTAGGATAAAATTCTGGAGATCAGGGAAGCTTTACCTAAATCACAATGCTTAACTCACTCTACCTACAAGGAATGTCAGTTCTAAGAAAAGGAATGGAGGAGAGAAGACGCTCATGCCCTTAGCAGGAGGGGTGAAGGGAGGAGCTGAGGAAAAACCAGCACTTTGCCTAGAGGCCCTTCTGAAGACTCCTAGATAACTAACGAAAGGGCATCCTGCATCTCCTGAGAGAAAAGTCCACAGCCCATATCCCGGATACCCTACTCACAATTTCCAGGTGCTAGGATCCAAAACAATACAGCATTAAGACCTTAGATTAGCTGGATTAAAAGCAGGGCAATTCTTTTCCACCTGCTATTTGCATTGTTTTTTGGAGGGCGAGAAAAGGTATCTAATTAAAAAATAGTGGGATATATGAAGAAATTAGAAATAATAATTTCTCATAGGGAAGAAAAGAAAATTATTTTGTGATGAGCACAAGAAAAAGGAAAGGAATCTGTGACCCCTGCCCCTTCCCAGGTCTCTTGGACTATGATTTCTCCCCCTAAAAGTTGAACAGGCCTGGCAATCTGTGTACCCAATTAATGGAAACAGCAATTTTTGAAGTAGCTCCACACTCCACTTAATTCTCTCCCTCCCAGACTCCAGAAATGCTTGATTTGGCTATGTAAAAGGCATTCTAATTATAGTGATTTACATGAACTACTAGCATTTATGCCTAATTACCTCACAGAACAATAACGATTTCGCATATTTTAAATGTGTAGATTAACCTGGTTGTAAGTCTTATTGATAACAAAAGTAAAGTGTTCATATATACTCATTCTTCATAGTTTGTTGCTCATATAGCACGGTCATCTGCTTGTAACTTTTTGAAATTTTTATTAAAGAAAACCTTGTTATGTAGGTAGGTGAAAGTGGTCAAACAATCTGCCACCAATTTTATCATATTAATTAATAATTTTGGCATTTTGTGAAGGTGTATTTTATTTTAATATTACAGCTTAGCTGTACATAAAGTTTCTTAGTACAATGAATGTTTAAACAACTGCATTAAAAACAAAATCAAATGTTCATAAAATCATAAATTTTATTTACCAAAATTATAAATTCTATAAATAAAGTTCTTCTATCACTGAAAAAATTTTTCCTTTTCTGATAATCAGCATACCAGTGTTTATGTTTTGGAAGAAGTAGGTCTGTGGCATCTTTACAGTCTTCAAAAACTAAAGCTTTGTAGATGTTTCTCTCAAATTACGTTAGACAGTTGGGTCACTTTCACTGTTGAAGATTTGGTGGGTTCGCCTGACTGGTGTGGCTCAGTTGATTGGGTGTTGTCCCACACACTGAAAGGTCACTGGTTCTATTCCGTCAGGGCATATGCCTGGGTTGCGGGTTCGGTCCTCAGTTAGGGCGCTTACGAGAGCCAGCGGATCAATGTTTTTCTCTCTCACACTGATGTTTCTCTTCCTCTCTTCCTCCCTCCCTTTCCCTCTCTCTAAAAATAAATAAATAAAATCTTTTTAAAAAATGGATTTGGTGGACTGAAGAAATTACAGTAGGACAAATATTACCACAAAGAGATTGATCTGACAACTAAACATTTATTCACATATGCATTAGCACTTAACAAGTATAAGCTTTCATTAGACACATTGGAAACTACCTAACGTGTCAAATCTCCTACTTAACATAAGATTTACAACTACACAATAAAACCAAGGTTATTTACTAGGTAGACCCAACACAGCCAATTCAGAAATCAAAGTTGGAAGTGTGGGAGAATACCCCTAAAGAGTCAAACTATAAAGGTTGGCCGTCAAAAGGGGTAATTCATCATTAATCCCTATAACCATTACACTACACTAGTTGACCACAGTGGCTATCATACTCATGGTCTACAACTGAGGGATACTGCCATGCTCACAGGAGGCCTGGGTGCCAACTTACGCAGAGATCCAATCTCTACCCTGGCTGGTAGTCTCTGAAAAAACTGGTGTGAAAGCTGGACCAAACATCGATTAAGTGATTGTTTGGCTCATCAGATTCTTACTTGGGGATTTAAACCCAGATACAGGCAGAGAATTTAGAAGTTGGTAAAACAAACAGAAGCGAAAATGGACATGGGGGTAAAGGAACAAAAGAGGATTACACAAATAGAAGAGCACCAGAGTAACTAGCACGTGCTACCATGGCATTCAAATCATCAGAGCTTTCCGAGCCACTGATTCTGCGGGCTCAAGCTCCATAAGGCCTGGCTGCACGGTGGAGACACCCTTCATTGCTATTTGCATATGTAGTCTTATTCTGAATCTCCATTTCTTTCTGTAACCTAAACGAACCTCCATTCCTTTTAACCAAAAGATATTACCACAGTAACAGCCTTTTTCTTTATATAAAAATAAAATTTTAATTATATTCTCAGTGCTTTTTAAAAAGTAGAGTTACTTTCAGTGGTTTTTTAAATAAAGTACCACTAACACTTGTTATACAGTACCTTTCTTCTAAACACCTTCTACTAAATGAATATTTGTGGGGGGGTGGGGGGCAGGGATTTGGCCAATTAAAGGAAAGCTAGTTTCTTAGATTAAACCATATTCTAACTCATTACTATTACCATCCTTCATAATTTGAAGATGATACCACCGAGGACATTGACTTCTATAATAAGCAAGGAAATAGGAGTTTTCCTGTCATCTTACAATTTCAGTAGAAGATCAAAGCTGAGAATAAGGGGAGACAAGTTCTCTTATACTCTTAAGAGAGACACTAATCATATCCATCCAGCAATTATTTAAAAAGAGAAAAAAGGAAAAATCAGCTCTAAAACCAAAGTGGAACTGAAGAAAGTCATTAAGGTAGGAAGCTGTTCGCTGGGTAAGAAATGCTGTGGGATTTCCCCAAAATAAACATCATGCCAAGTACAGGGGTATCCAAAGAGAAGCATGTAAAAAGATGAGGAATGAGTGCAAGCTGAGAAGGGCAGGACGCTTGCTTAGGTGAGGAAATCCACAGTCAGCTATCAAAGTAGGGGGTGGAGGAGTTCATGGAAGAACTTGACACATCCCCAGGATCATGGGAGAATACAGGAAAAAAACAGAGACTGGTGCCTACTTCTTATCTGCAGAAGTCCAAGGGCAGGAGGCTGACTATGCCATAGTCAGCCTGGAGTTGGAGAAAGGAGATGTTATGTTATGCTTCATGTGGCCTAAGTGGACACCACAAAAGGTGATCTGGCTAGAGCTGTTCTGAAACGACTCCACCCAAGAAGGCCTGGTACAAGTGCAAAAGGTCCCAGGAGAATGCAGAGGTATGGGGCGTTCTGCTACAGTCCTAAGAGGTCAAAGAGTGGAGCACTGGGAAGGTCCTCAGGGAAATCCCGAGGAACCCACCAACATGTCCTTCAACAAAGAGCTAGCATGTCAACACCAAAGGCCCTTAACTAGTCACTTAAGACTCTGCTATTTCACTCCAATCTTCTATCCCTCTCTTCTGACCCTAGAGAAGCCAGACAAGCAGAGAAGGGAGGAGGGAAAGAACAAATCACGCCCCCTTCTCCACTGCTGATCCTGGGCCATGCCTGAGCAAGAGAAAGGGGAAGCTTAGAATGGAGCAGAAGTTTTCGTTTTGACTGGACAGCATCAATTATTACCTAAACATGAAGCAATCTGAATCCCCCCAAGGCAAAAAAAAAAGCTATGGAATATCCAGAGATCAAATATGGGGATCCAACAGAGCTTATTTAAAGAAACTGGTGGGAAATTATCAAGCTGTTTCAGGGTTGTACCTGACTACATTTAATCCATTTTATTAAATGTTTACACTTTTAACTGTTTAATCTTCAACATCATATAAACCTCACCTTTGAAAAAAGGCCTTCTGCCTCTATACTGTATCCTTTAAGGTCCTCGTGCAATTTCTGCAAACACTGTATGACTCTTCTTTGATGTTCATCATCCTTTAACTCATGAGCTTTGATCAGAAAGTCATAGTGGTCCAGAGGTCCATGGCAAACAGCCAGAGCTTTCAAATAAGCTTCTGTAGCTACAGCTGGAGGCATACTCTCAGGTGTCTGAACTGTATAGGCTATAAACAAAAATATATATATAATTTTAGACTTTCTTAAATGAAGATATTTCATAGTGCTCTACAATGTTTAATGATCACATTAAAGCTTTTAACCAGTTATAAGAAATATATTGAGCAGTTACTGTAAATGTCATTTTGATTAAAATAATATAAAACTATTTTGCACAATAAATATATTTACAATTATCTCATTTTAATAAAAGGGAAGAAATCCAAACTCATTAGGTTATCACTGCAATCCTTCTTCTGGAAAGTCTAACCTGCTGTACAGTCTCTGCTTTGCCTCTACTCCCCTAAACGAGCCATCTGAGGTCATCAGATCTTCCCCGAAGCAGGGTTTGAGTTAGGCCTAATTCTGGTTCTTGAGTACCAAGGCAGAGATATGGAGACTAGTCACAAAGGGTTCTCCACTGCACTTTTATTCTCTATCCAAAACCACACAACACTGAGACACTACCACACAGCTCCAGCCCCCTGCTTATGAGATTCCTTCCCTTTGCCATACCTTTAGGTTGAACACAAAGACTTGGGATACAATGGTGTCCATTTCTAAGCAGGGTGGTGTTATGATCCCTTTTTTGGCCTTCCTGGGAAAGAAATGATTGGCCACAATAAGGCCCAATAATAACTGCATTGCTTATCTGGGGTAGTTGGTTCAATGAGTGGGTAACTATCATTTTTTTCCATATCCTTTAATTTTTTATTGTTGTTCAATTACAGTTGACCCAATTTCCCCCCCATTGCTCTCCCCTTCCCCACCTGAGCCCCATTAGAAGCAAGAATAAACAGCAGTCAACTGGCATATTTTTTTAGAAAAGGATTTTGCACGTTTCCTGTTTCAATATGAAAACTACTTTAGAAAAAAAATTAATAGTCCCAATGTTATTTTCATCTTCTTCCCAAGAGGAAAAAAATTCTAAATAAATTGTGAATATCGGGGCTAGGGCAGAGCTATCTTTAATAGTTGTTCTCCCTTCCTAAATAGAAGTTTTAGTTGAGTACAAGCCTGCCCCATCAAATATTCCATTTCCTGACCTCTCTTACATCCCCAGTGGCCACGGGACCAGCTCTAACAAATGGGATGTGAGCTAAAATGTGTGTAGCTCTGCCACATGCACTTAAAGGACAAAAGTAACCCCCCCTCCCTGTTCCTCCCTTCCCTCTGACTGGGCTGAAAGTGCATGAGTGCAGCTGGAAGAGTCAGCCCCGCAAGGAAAGGCATGCAGAATGCTGACCAAAGCAGAGCAAAGTTCTCCAACCATGCAGAGCTGCCAAACCAGCTCTACACCACCTGCTTGGATTTTTGTGTAAAAGAATAATAAACTTCTATCTAACATTTCAGGCAGTGTATTTCTGGGTGTCTTTGTTACAGAGGCCTAAATTGTACCCTAACTAATGGGGGGGCTTACAGCCTGCAGAAGAGAATCAAAGAGTCTCCTGGAACTTTGGGCCTCACAGGACCAAGAACAAGGCTTGGGTTCAGTGTAGATGCTGGAGGCCTAAGTTGAGAATTCTGTAAACATTTCTAGCAATTTGAGATATTTACCAGTAGAGTATAAGAAGAAATACATTTGGTGTTTGTCCTCAGTCCCTAACACAGGAGTCCTAAAACCCCTGGAATCTTCTGAGTCTCTTTTGTTATCATAACAGAGCACCCTCCTATCACACCTGAGTTACGCTAGTGAGGTAACTTAGAGCAGGACTCCAAGATAGCTTCAGGACAGGGCTCATCCCCAGAAAGACCAAGCATAGAGAGGGTCAGAACTTTCATCTCCACCTACTCACCTCCTGGAAAGAGAGTGGAGGCTAGAGATTAAACTCTACAAATACTACTGAGCTTTGAAATTTGAAAAGCTCACAAGCTGATGAACGCAGAAGTGCTGTGAAGGTGGTACGCCATGGCAGGGCAAGGAAACTCATCTCTTGCCCTGTGCATCTCTTCCATTTGGCTATTTCTGAATTGTCCTTTATAATAAACTGGTAAACATAAGTAAAGTATTTTTCTGAGTTCTGTGAGACATTTCTTGCAAATTATCAAATGTGAGGGTGGGGAGTTGTGGGAACTCCTGAATTTGTAGTTGGCCATGCAGACGTGTGCATAGCTTGGACAGCCCACTGCAGTGTCATCTGAAATGGAACCAGTCTTGTAGAACTGAGCCCTTTTAATTTGTGGGATCTGATGTTACAACTCAGATAGTGTCAGAATTGAACTGAATTGTTGGATACCTATTAGTACTGAAGAATTTGAGATACTCGCACTAGGGAAAATGCTCTTTTCCACCCCTTCCTTTAATTTCCTGGAGTCAACCAGGTAGGAAACCCAAGAGTAACACTCATTTCCTCCCCACTCCATCCCACAATCTCTTTCCCTAGCCCTCATCCAGGTCCTCAACCAGTCATCAGTGCTACTCAATTGTACATCCTAAGTACTCTCTAAACTATTTCTTTCTTCCCTTCTTCATATTACAGCACCCCAGCTGAGGCTCCCATTATCCCTAACTTAGCCTCCCTGCCGCTGATCACTGCCTGGCCCAAATTTACCAAGACCACCATCTCTCAAATATCTATCAATTGCAGGAATGATCCTGCTAAAATTCAAATGTGGTTTTCTCAATTTGCTTGAATTTCAGCTCATTGTTTAAAGGAATGGTTTTCAAACATAATATTAATAGCAGTGCCTATTTTACATACAAAACCTCCCATGGAATCCTAAATTTTTTAAAGAGAAAAGTGGGAAGGAGGACACAAAATTCTACTCTCTTTACGTCATTCCCACACCTATACCACCCTAATTCCAGAGCAGCCCCTGAACCCACCTTCCCACCTTATAGAATCACATTAAGTATGAATAGTGTGAAAAAATCATGTTCATGCCTGAGACTACTCCCCTTAGAACAGCCTGCTTGCAAAGGTAAGCCCTCGGCTAGGAACTTGGATTCCAAGAGGGTTTCCACCATTCCCAGAAATGGTAAGAGTTACTCACTGGGCATAAATGTCTGTACCATGAACCAGCAATGTGGTTCATGTTGAACACCTAGTTTCCTTCTACAAGTCTAGAATTTTAGCGCATACTGGGTAGAGAGGCCTATGTTACCGCCCCCTAACCCTAGGCATTGAGTCTCTAGTGAACTTCCCTAATACAAAACATTTCACACCAGTTATCACAATTTGTTGCTGAAGGAATTAAGCATATTCTTTTATGTGACTCCACTGAGAGAAGACTCTTAGATGCTTGCAGCTAATTTTCTCCAGATTTTGCTCTGCATGCCTTTCCCCTTTACTGATTGTGCTTTGTATCCTTTAACTATAATCAATCATATCTCTGAGTCCAACTATAAGCTGAGTCTTGTGAGTCCTCCAAATCACCAAATCTGAGGGTAGTCATGGGGATCCCCAGCAAAGACAGTATCCTCATTCTGGGGTTCAAGGACTCTATACTAGGGTCCCAGCCTACACTTCCAGACCACTGTCCCTCTACTCTCCAAAATGCATTCATTGACACAAGAAATGACTGAGTACCCACCAATGTAATAGGTAATGTAATGGGAAATAGGGAAAAATAAAAGTTTTTTTTAAAGTGGAGGTAGAAGAGACAAAAATATTCCATCAGTAATATATTAGGATTAAGTGACAATAGTAAGTAAAATTAATTTGGGTACAGAGAGACTAGTTATGAAACTGGTTATTCGAAGTGGTAAATATTAAAGGCCAAAATTAGAATGGGTAATAGCAGGAATTAGAATTATTTTGTCATCATAAGGTTCTTGCACTATTTGAAAGTGGACTTGGGTCCATTGTAGATATATATCAAAAACTCTAGGGCAACTACTAAAAAAAGATTTTTAAAAATGATGTTTAATTGATATGCTAAGAAAAGAGAGAAAATGGAATCATATAAAATGTGCAATTAAAACCACAAAACAGGCGCCTCTCTCCCCCCCTTCTCTAAATCATACCTGTACCTTTCCCCCACTCCTACCCCAGGCACATCCGCTCTGCTTTTCTTTCTCCTAAGCTCCAAGGGCCCTTCTTTTGCCTCTGTAACTTGTTTCCTGAGTCCACGCAGCCCAGTGGGCTCACTTCTTCTATCTTTGTGACTTCTAAATAAACTTTTGCTTGTATGTGGGGAAAAAACACAAAATAGAAAAAGAGTAGGTAACAAAATAGGAACAAAGAACAAAAGCAACAAATAGAGAGCAGTAACAAATATGGTAGATAGTAATCTAACTGTATCAATAGTTACTTTGAATGTCAATGGTATAAAACACCAGTTAAAAGACAGATTGTCAGATTGGACCCTACTATATGTTTCTACAAGAAACCCACTTTAAATGTAAGACAGATATAGATTAAAAGTAAACAGATAGAGAAAAATATACTATGCCAACACTAATCAAAAGAAAGGAGGAGTTGTTATATTAATTTCAGACAGAACAGAATTCAAAGCAAAGAAGTTATCAGAGACAAAGAAGGGCATTATATAATGCTAAAGAAGTCAGTTCTCTAGGAAGACATAATAATTCTTAATACTCACCTAATCACAGCCATCAAACTAAACTATGTGAGGCAAAAAAATTGATAGAACTATAAGGAAAAACAGATGAATCCATTATCATAGTTGGAGACTTCAACACCCCTCTGGCAGAAGTGGCCAGATCCAACACACAGAAAAAAAGACATAGTTGAACTTAATACAATCAATAAATTGGCTATAATTGACATATATAGAATACTTCATCCAACAACAGCAGAATACACATTCTTCTCAAGTTCACATTGACCAAGACAGACCACATCCTGTGCCACAAAACACATCTTAACAAAGTTAAAAGCACAGAAATCATATAATGTAAGCTCTCAAATCACAATGAAATTAAACTAGAAATCAGTAACAAAAAGGTAACTGGGAAATCTTAAAATATGTGGAAATTATATAACAACATATGGGTCAAAAAGAAATCTCAAGAAAAAATGTAAAAATATTTTGAACTAAATAA